ACAATCATACATATTTAGGATTACTCTTTGGGTCTGTTTCTCTAAATCTTTATGAAAGAATTCTGCCTGCACAGGTTCATCAACCATCTCCTCGTGGCTTGGAGCATTTTCCCAAGGTCTCCAAAGAGCCATATTTAGGTCACACAAGAACAATCAACACAACAATTAAATCAACAAGTAAACTGAGTATTCAAAAGTCAAAAACACACAAACTAATAAAATCTATGAAAAAACACGGACAGACTAAAGAAAACACGTTTATTCACCGCTACACGGCACTGGCTAAACTGTTTCAATTTTCAGTAGCCACCTGCACTTGTTCGGAGCTCTGAAATACACGCTTTCTCATTGGCTATGTCCACGCATAGGCGTGCTTTACTAAACGTGGACTGGTGAAACTGCCTTTGATCTTATACGGGGGATATTTGCTGCGAAATTTGGCGATTTTTGCAGCAACAGAGCGTGTTAAATATATACTAAGTGACATATAAATCCGAACACCCAGTTTAAATGGTTTTATTTTAATAAAAGTTGGTGAATGTATTTATCTTACTGTAAATAACAAGTGAACAAATTTTCAGCCTTATCAGTTGGACATTCCGGTTTTTATACTAATTTTTTTTAATTCACTAACGCTCTAAAAATGAATATTTCAGCCGCAGTAAAGAATCAACGTTGGCGGATTTTGATTCTTGACGTCCTTTACGATCGGTTACGATGCCTAGAGTACGGAGACCTGTACGATTTCGTCAACTTAGTGACTTTGATAGGGGCCGTATAGTGGGACTTCGGGAAGCTGGACTTTCTTTTCGGGCAATTGCAGTTAGAGTGCAAAGAAGTGTAGACACTGTGGTTAGGTGTTGTCAGGCATGGCTTCGAGAAGGCCGTACGCAAAGAGCAAGGGGCACTGGACGCCGCCGTAGAACAACAGACCGTGAAGATCGCCGCCTAAGATTATTGGCCTTAAGGGACCGTTTCTCCACTACCAGGTCCATTGCAAATGAATGGTTTGCAGAACACGGAAGACCTATTGGCATGCGAAGTGTTTACCGACGAATGAGAAGTTATGGCTTGTTTTCATACCGGCCACACTGGGTCCTCCCTTTAACTCGAGAACACCGACGTAATCTCCTTGAGTGGTGCAGACAACGGTCACTCTGGGATCAGGAATGGAACAGTATTGTCTTTAGTGACGAGTCTCGATTTTGTTTAGGCATGCACGATGGTCGTGCCAGGGTTAGAAGGCGGCGTGGTGAAAGGAGGAATCCACAGTTTTTTGTTGAAAGACATGTTCATCACACTGTTGGAGTTATGGTTTGGGGTGCTATAGCTTATGGTTCCAGGTCACCTTTAATCTTCATCAGAGGTAACATGAACGCGCAGCGTTATATCCACGAAGTTCTAGAACCTCATCTTTTACCCTATCTTGACAGCCTGGCAGATCCAACTTTCCAACAAGATAATGCCTGACCACATGTTGCAAGAGTCACAATAGACTTCTTTCAATATAATGATGTCACATTGTTACCATGGCCACCAAGATCTCCCGACTTATTCCCAATTGAGCACGTGTGGGATATGATGGGTAGGAGATTGCTCCATTTGAAACGTCCTCCTCAGACTCTAGAAGCACTTCGAGAGGAGTTGGTGGTTGCCTGGAATGAGATACCACAGGAGGACATTGACCACCTGATCAGAAGCAGGCCTAGGCGCGTTGGAGAATGCGTAGCACATCAGGGTGCATCCACACATTATTAAAGGCCAAAGGGCTTTAAAGCAGTGCAATCATTTTGAAATTTTTATCATTTACTTATTATGCTTCATTAAGTACTTATTCAAAATTTTATTAAAATAAAACCATTTAAACTGGGTGTTCGGATTTATATGTCACTTAGTATAGATATATAAAACGCACCCGGTATTTCACAGTGTTTCAAGTGACTTCAGATAAAGTATACGATGAATCTTCGACCTCTATTATATATCAATCTATACAGAGTGACAGGTAAATAGGTGTAAAACATTTTAGGAGGTGATAGTACAGCTTCTTTGCTATCAAAATTAGTATATAATACCATACCCTATATTCAAAGAGTAAAAAAGTTATGGAAAATTTAATTTTTTTAAAAAAACAACACAGATTACAGAGTAAAATAGTTGAGATAAAAAAATGTTGGTGATTAAACATTCTTTTTTTGGTGGTTTCACGTTATTATTTAAATAAATAATTCTCATAAATTAAAAAACATATGAAAACGTATTTATTTTCATTTAAATGTTAAATGAAAATTTTTATTGTCAACTTTCACATTAAGAAGTCGTTTTTTTCAAACAAATCATAATAAAGAAAATGTACAAATAACTGCAAAAACTTCCTCGTTTCATTAGGTTTCTAAAATGGTGTGATAACATATCAGTAAGTAAACCATTTAACAAAACAATATTACTTTGCTAGAAAGGACCGCTAAGCGCATTTCATTGTACTGAGCAGGTAAACCGAGCCTTTCATGGTCCCTTTTTGTTACTTTTTGTGCCCTGTGCCGTTATTCGGGTTTAAGTATTCGGAATCTGTGGTCGCTCCTCGGAAGCAAGCTCTGCGTGTGTTATGAATTGACACAGCTCTGACGGATCAAGGAAAGGGAACTAACGCTTAGGTTAGTTAGTAGAATATCAACCTTTAACGCGGTAGGGCGTACTTTTACTTTTTTGATCAGTTTTAATAATGGCGAGTTACCGCAACGAAGAATACGCTGATATTCTGTTTTGTTATGGTTTAAGTGATGGAAATTCCGTTGAAGCCAGGCGAGAATACGAAAACCGTTTTCCGAATGGCGAATCCTATGAAAACTTTTTGAGATCCGAACTCTGGGAGTATCTCGAAGACCTGCCTCTGAATATCAGGATGCAGATGATCTACCAACACGATGGCTGTCCCGTGCATTTCCGTCTGGGTGTTAGACAGTGGCTGGACGAGAAATATACTTGTCGCTGGATTGGCCGAGGTGGACCGACACCGTGGCCAGCGAGGAGCCCAGATTTAACACCGTGTGACTATTATTTATGGGGGCACATGAAGTCACTGGTGTACGCTGAGCCCATAGACACTCTTGCACTGTTGAAAGAAAGAATTATTGCTGCTGCTGACACTATCAGAGGACAACTAACTGGCCGCATCACGCGTACCAACATGAGAAAAATACTACGGGCTTGCATAAGAAACGGCGGGCGTCAGTTCGAACAACAATTGCAATGAATTTTACCTTCATTTCATTATTGTATTTTACTTACCAATTGTAGTAACTTTTAGTCAGTTTTTATTATTCTGTAGTACAATTACAACTGTGTGAATAATCTAATCGTGTAACTTAACCGTAGTTTAAAATAATAACTATCCCATAGGTTACAGTTACATTATTTTCACAAAAACACTTTATCAATCAGAGAGTTGTGAAAATAGGAGACAAGCCATTGGTAAATTTACTCCCTATTGTTGTATTACAATACATTATGTTTAGTTTCACACAGTTTTTGTGCACTTATACCAATTTAGATTCCATATGAAACAAGGATATTATTTAAATTGTTTGTACGTTTTTTTGTATACTGATTTTTTTGTAAAACACCTTACTTACTGTAAAACGTTATTTTTTTTATTTCTTAGTTAAACATTTTTGAATGAAAATAAATACGTTGTTTGGTATTGTTTTCGAATCTTTTTTAATTTATAATATTTAATTATTGAAATAATAACCCAAAACCACAAAAAACAAATGTTTAATCGTCAACTTTTTTCTCTCTCGACTTTTTTACTCTGAAATATGGATTGTTTTTAAAAAAATCTTAAATCTTCAATAACTTTTCAACCTTTGAATATAGGGTATAGTATGATATACTAATTTCGATAGCAAAGGGGCTGTACTATCACCTCCTAAAATGTTTTACACCTATTTACCTGTCACCCATAATGCAACTGTATAATATTTCAGTTTTAATGGCAGATGTAGGCAAAATATGTGTGACTTATTATGTCTAACAAGTTGCATGGCATCACTGAGATCCGCGTCTTAATAGTAGGTCTTTCATTGATACCGAAAATGCAACAATTTACAACCATTTACCGCACACAGCTGAAAACCTACAATTTTCAATCCCTCCAAACAAGGTCTGGAAATGATCATTGATCTTTGAAGCGTTGTAACACTATGTTCCAGCCATTTTATTTCTGCCGCCTCAGAATCAATTTTCAAAATATACGACTATCTAAACGATGGAACTATTAAACTCGCGATGATATTCGAGCTATGGTTCACAATTTTTCCGTATCTTAAAAGCATCTGGATCACAACAGTCTGTGTTTCTTGTTTATGTCGGTTTGTCAGTCCGTTTATTCTGTATATCAATGCCACACAAATTCCGTTCATTCTCCTACTCTATATACATGAAATATACTCGGCCAGACCCCAGACACAGTCACCGACAAGGCATCGACCACTGTATGAACAAAAAGATAATGACCTACAGTAAAAACGATTTTTCTTAATTTCCAAAATTCCCCAAGTTTTATCACTTTATTTATTCGATCATATCGTCGACAGTGATTATATTTGACATATTTACCCCATCTTAATTCAGTAAGTCTTGTAGCGGTGTGTCAGTGACGACACCAGCGCAGACCAGTTGAATTTTGTTACTCATCCTGCAGTGGCCTCCACGACGATGCAGCAACGCCAACGATTATGACCACGTTATACATCGGACTCTTATCATTTAATTTCGCCGTTGTTACCGTTGCGATCTAGAAATGTATCTTCTGCCTTGACATCATTGCGATCAGAGTTGCGATAAGTAAAACACCGATATATAGAGAGTAAACATTGCTGTTTATTCAAATTATACATTTGTTTATTTTGTGACGTTGCTTGGAGGCTAGGGGCAGAAACGACTGGCAAGGAAAACAAAATGGCTGTCGTGGAAAAAATTACATTCCAACCAGGGGCGTATCATAATGAAAATACGAGTACCACTGCACTCCCATTGACGTATTTAGAGAACTGATGGTCTTTCTCGAACTCCAAAGGAGATACCAATATGTGTTTTTTTTGTATACTCCAACTACCACGAAGGCCTAAGGCCTAAACACCCATTCAGTACCGTGGGGCTATGGGGGATACAGGGGAAAGGGGGAATGCCACACGGACTCTGGCGAGGGAATACGTGTGCATGCAACATGCACACATTCTGGCTCCGCCTACGAGATCCGCCGGGTGGTACCTACGCGTTAGACAGTCATAGACCGTCTACCACCTACGAACAATCAGAACATCCATAGCCAAGAGAAAAATTTCTCCTGGGACGGGATTCGAACCCGCACAGCGCACGACGACTGATCAGGAGACCGAAGAGCCTATTACTGCGGCCACCGCTCCTGCCTACATCTTTGTGTAAATTCAGTAGAGATTTTAAAAGAATATTGGCTTTAAAATACATTTTTCGAGTAAAATCATAGAGCCTTCGGAGAGCGTCACCACGCCCATGGAGTTCCTAACCTAAATTTTTTATTTTTCTTACCGATGAAAGTATAAGCCTTCTGCTTTAGGCTGCTGACTGTATACCTTGCGCACACTCACACACACACACACATTATGGTCAACAAACAATTATATAACAGCACAAAATCACAATTTTCACGACGATGCACGCACACAACAAAGGCAAATTATGAACGAAATTTTCTCGTAAAATCAGTCGAAAGTCAAGCCAGATATAGTAAAAACGGCCCGCCGTTGTCAAACATGCAAAGTCTTGGTCATAGGCCTTTGCAACTGTTTAAGTTGTAATATTGTAAAATTGAGGAAGGGAATCTGAGTAGGAACCCGGCATTTGAGGCCATCGTACAACTACTGCAGCTCACAGGCTGTCGCTGATTCATAAAGCCCCACAATTGTGCTACCTACATTGTACAGCAAGTTACCGGACCCCAGCACTTTTTAAGAGGAAGGTCAGATAGTTTCTTTTAAATAATCCTTTATGTTCTTAAAACAAAAATATATATTTTGTTTTTAAATGTGAATGTACCATGAGAATTTCAACACTCTATTGTAGAGTCATATTAACATAAAAATCATCATTATTGTTATTATTATCACTTCAATCTTTAACTTGAAACTGTAAGGTTTTCTGCCATATTTCGCTACGGTGGCCGCAATTTCTGTCAAGGATAAAACCTGCGAACTTTACGCATGAATTGTGAATGCACCCTAGGGATATCCTGAAGACGCGAACCGACAGCATTAAGGACAAAAGGATGATGAAAGCAGAAGGTTAATAGCTGCAGAGACCTTCTTATTATTGGAAAACCATTTGGGTGCATGTGCAAATCCAGGTTAAGTGCATCTCCTTCTTCATTCTTTCAGGCCGTATTTTCTCTCGTGTTTTCCTCATTGTCATAGAAAATCGGGCAAAGGCGTACAAAAAGAATTTTCCCGACAAATGTAGGCAACATGTATTGTTCGTGAAGACCATTTTTTAAGGGTATGTAGTTGGGAAAATCGTTTTTATTTTCCCCGGCTGTATTTGAGATGAGACTGTAAAATAAAGAGTACATTAACATTACCACTTTTTTCTCCTCAACAATATGACGTTTCGTCTCTTGTCATCAACATCAACTTTTCTTATAGACGCAATAATGAGTTTTTGTACAGGTGAATATAGTTTTGAATACTGATTCTGAAGATGTACGAGTATAATGTGTCAGAAGTTGACATTGCCAGATGCTAGTTATTTTAAGAAAAAACAGTAATTCCATTGTGAGTTGTGAAATTGTCAAGAAATCAATGGTTTCATAAGAGCATTCCTTCAGTTTTTATGAACTAGGTATAGGTAAACAGTCCCTATTTCCGCTCTCAATAATATTATAAAAGAAGTAATCGTACTATAGTTGATCTTAACAGATCCAATAAAGAGCAACCTAATGCTAAGGCTTTTTTCATTTTATATTGAAAACAGTATTATCACAATCTGCAATATCTGAACCTATGTACATAGCATGCATTCAAATTCTATTCATCTACGCCTGAGGTGTACATGTGATTGTTGTTGGATATGGATTGTGAGCATTGCAAACAGTTACAAATTGTTGTTATTTTCAAAGCAAAATTGTCAAATCTACCGATGAATTTGCATCTTTATTTATATTTACATTTTTTTGCGCTCGAGTATCGCATTTTCAATGAGCGAAATCATACAGAATATCTTCTTCCAACTGGAAAATTCGCCAAATCTATTTTGCTGTCTCAAGCCCCTTGGATACGCCTCTGTAATTCTAGGACGTCGGACGACCTTGAGAAAAGGCAAAGCGGAGATTCATTTGACTAATGAGGGGTATTTTTTTTCGCTGAAAGCCGAGACGAGGGTTCAAGGATACTTTCTTTCACTTTATTAAAGTTGTATGGGCGCGACCTTTTTACTTTTACGCAAATTTGTACATACACATGGAATATGACGTTCGCGCAGGAATAAGGTTTCCCTTTACTACTATAATTCGTAGAACTGGGGCAAGCTTTATAGCTTCTACGAAAGACCGAGATACTGTTCAAACATAAATGCGCAGAATAATTGTGGATGTTTTCGTGCGAACACTCAAGTACAGGGTGCTTCCTAAATTAATGGTGCTACAAAAAGTGCTTGGAAAAATTTGCAACCAGCAATTTCGGGAAATACCATGCCCGCTTTTAGAGGGTGTTCATTAAGTATGTACCATAAATTGAACAGACGATTCTTTGAGTAATTTTAAGACAACAAGCTTATAGAAACATAGGCCGCACATTCTTCGTTCTCAACATTCAGGGTGTTAAAGTTTAAAAAAAACGTTTTTTCGTAAATTTCTTAAATATCCTTTACCTATCTTTGTTTTAATTTGGCGGTGGTATTTATAACATTAAGGAGCTAATTTAGCCCTAACTTGATTACATTTATTGAGTCCAGTGGCGTCTCGAACGAGATCTCAACCAATGTTTGTGATAAAAAAATATACGCCATTGACCTTGGTGCAATTTTTATTAAGTTTTTAGTATTAAGCAAATAGAAATACAAACTTTTTGTCTCTTGATTTTTTTCCGTATCTAGCTTAGTTTTTACTTTTGTACGTCTCCATGCACGACTTCTGAAACAGGCAGCTTTAAAAGATGGACGGTTACTGTCGGGAGGCCTGCAACTTTACGAACAGTTCAAACTGAGAAAGATGTTTTAAATGAACTTGAAGCAAATCCTCATACCAGTACTCGGAAAACAGCTGAAGAACTCAATATTATCCGTGTCATAGTGTGGCAGACTTTCAGAGACGTGCAACATGTGCAAGCTCTATTGCTCAGAGATTTGCCTTTAAGACTAGCTTTTTTTTATTGGTTACGCAGTAAAATGATAAGGAATCCAGGTTTTCTAAGTCGAATATTGTTTACAGATGAAGACTTTTTCTCGCAATTCAATTATTACGAGTAACTTCCACAACAATCATATTTGGGCCGAAAACAATCCACACGCTTTGATAGAAAATAATTTCCAAGAACAGTTTCGGGTGACTATGTCATTGAGCCTCATTTTCTTCCACCTGGACGTAACGGAGAAAGATACCGAAGGTTTTTAAAATTTGTTTTTCCTGGATTCTTAGAAGAACTTCCAGTCTTGGAAAAAGATTCCGTATGTGGTACATGCACGACGGGCGACCACCACACTTTAGAGTAGTGGCGCAGCAATTTTTGGATGGAAATTACCGTAATCGCTGTATTGGGAGAGCCCACACGTATGACTCCCTAGCTCGCCCGATATGAATCCTTTAGGCCCAATTTCACCAACAACAGTCCGTTATTCTCAACCTATAGGGTAACAGACCGTCAGATACAGCGAATGAGCTTCAAGTTCCAATCAACAAATTTTAGCAACCAATAGCTATGAAATGTTGAAAACAAAATACTGTCAAAGTGTGAGATGACAACTTGTCATTGAAACATCACCAGCTTATTGAATATTAAGAAATTAAATAAATAAACCTCTTGCAGATAGCCATTAAGCACCTACTTGATGAAAGGCTCTACCAAAAGATATTGCTCGTTTCCAAATATTCATTCATTTACTTGCCGTTCTTCAGAACCATTATGGCACCTTAGATTGATATTCCCACAAAACCATTCAGGTTTTTTGATATCCATACATCCATTAAGTTGAATATTTTTCCTTGTTCAGGAACTGAACAAACATCAACACTATATTTAAAAAAAGGTAATATAATACCGATACATAAATCAGGAACAAAAACAGATGTTAACAACTATAGACCAATATCAATAATATCCAGTGTAGCAAAGGTTTTTGAAAAAGTTTTATCTACTAGAATGATTCGATACCTCACAAAATTCAAAATTTTAAGTGAAAATCAATATGGATTTACAGAAGGGAAGGCTACATCGGACGCAATAACTAAAATTGTAAATCAAATACATCAAAATATTGATAACAGAATCCCTTCAATCTGCATTTTTGTTGATTTAAAGAAAGCTTTCGACACAGTTAATCACAAATTGTTATTAGAAGCATTGGAGAGAATTGGTTTCAGAGGAAACGCGTACTCACTGATCGAAAGTTATGTGTCAAATCGCCCACAATCTGTGCAGATATCAGGATCATTTAGTAAAGAAATGTATATTAAGTGTGGTGTCCCACAAGGAACTGTCTTAGGTCCGCTGTTTTTCAATATATATTTAAATGATATTTTCCAAATTAATTGTGTTGGCAAAATAACTAGTTTTGCAGATGATACTGCAATATTATATGAAGGCACTGACTGGTCTGATCTGAATAATGTAATTGAAAATGATTTTATCAAAATTATTCGGTGGTTTAACAGTAGAAAATTAAGCATTAACTACTCTAAAACACATTTTTTACCATTTGGATCTTATGCTAGACATCTGCCAAATTACACAAATTTCTCCTTCAATATTAATGATCAAAAAATGCAAATTAATAGAGTGCCCAACATAAAATACCTTGGAGTGGTCTTGGATCCTCACTTACGATGGGACATCCATGTCAATTATATTTTAAAGAAAGTTAGATTTGTATCCTACAAAATTAAATACCTTGGAAATATATTGACAGAAAAATATCTTCGAACATTATACCATGCACTGATTGAGCCTCATCTCACATATGGTATATTAGCATGGGGAGCTGCATGTTCCTCACATATCTATAATTTAGATGTTTTTCAAAAAAGTATTCTAAAAATGATATTTAAAAAACCGAAACTGAAAAATTATACGCAGATGTTCGAAGACTTTATTTCTTACACAGTATCACTCACTACCATAAATTTGTAAACACCGACCAAAAAATTAAACATAATCATTATACCAGGTACAAAATTCGTGGCACAATAGTTCCTCAACCGCTTAAATCTATAATGCAGCGATCATATCTCTATTTAGCGCCTAAATTTTATGAAATTATACCTAAAGACTTAAAAGATTTACGTTTCGGA